CCTCAGCTTTCGTCAAAGTTCGGCTTGTGTAGGCGACGACATATTCATCAAACCCTGCCTTTCGTTGCGGGAGCACAGCGCCAAGTCCAACACCGCTGGCATCAGTATGAACCTCCGTGGGAGCAGCAGGATCGTAGTGGCGGAGGATGGGTGGTGAAGTTAGCAGGCGGCGTAATTTGGTGAACGCATCGTCGCATGCTGGTGACCAGGTGGAAAGGTCCTTGTCGCCACTAAGAAGGTCCATAAGGGGCGCACATACGGAAGCAAAATTTCTAATAAAGCGTCGGAAGTATGACGACAAGCCGACAAAACTTCTAAGTTCCTTTAAATTCTTTGGCTTCGGAAAATCGGCGACTGCTCGAAGCTTGGCGGGGTCGGGAAGTATGCCGTCCCGCGATACGACAAGACCAAAAATGGTGAGCTGCCGGGCACCAAAACGACACTTCTTGAGGTTGAGTTGAAGGCCGGCGTCAGTGAGGTGTGTGAGGACGTGCTCGAGACGATTTAAATGGTTGTCGAAATCAGTGGAAAAGACAACTACGTCATCGAGGTAGCATAAACATGTGTTCCACTTGAGGCCTCGTAAAATAGTGTCCATCATTCTTTCAAAAGTGGCTGGAGCGTTACAAAGGCCGAAAGGCAGAACGGTAAATTCGTATAATCCATCAGGTGTGACAAATGCTGTTTTCGGTCGGTCAGATGCTTCCATAGGTACTTTCCAGTATCCAGACCGTAAATCTAGCGAAGAGGAGTATTCTGCTCCCTGCAAACAGTCAAGGGCATCGTCTATTCACAGTAACGAGTAAACGTCTTTACGGGTGATCTTGTTTAAACGTCAATAGTCCACGCAGAATCGAATGGAGCCGTCCTTCTTAACAAGAACGACCGGTGATGCCCAGGGACTGTTAGAAGGCTGTACAATACCCCGCTGGAGCATGTCAGCAACCTGGTCGTCAATAACACGGCGCTCCGATGCGGAGACTCGATAGGGGCGCTGCCGTAGAGGCGTATGGCTTCCTGTGTCAATCTTGTGAGATATGTTCGATGTGCGACTGAGGCCAGAAGCGTGGCTGTCAAAAGAAGCACGAAACTTTTGCAGCAGGTTCTGGCTTTGTTCTGAAGAAGACGTTGCGACATCGATGGAGCGGTGGAAAGCGTCAAGGAGTGACTGGTCAACAGCAGAGTCAGAAATGAGTGCACTGAGGTCCGTATAAAGTAAACTAGATGGAGCGTCAAAAATGTGACGGGCGTCGATCGGATGCACGTGACAGAGACATTCACCATAGAATAAAGGTAAGGGCCCTTCTAGCGTATTGTACACGAGCATCTTCGTGACGCCATGGTGGAGAGTAAGGAGAGAAACGGGCAGTGGAGAACATTTACGTAGAATGAACAGGGCAGAGGGCGTAAATAGAACATCACCGTCGGAAATAGCGTCACACGACACAGTCACCAGCAGAGAAGAGCGCGGTGGTACGGTGCTGTCGTCGGAAACAGACAGTTTATAATACGGCGGGGAGGCTTCAACAGCGTCAACATCAGAAAGTGCAGATAGCTCAAGTTCAGCGCGACAGCAGTCAATGACAGCATTATTCGCAAGGAAGTCCCAGCCAGGTATCATGTCATGGGAACACGAGGGCAGCACTACGAATTCGACGATATACACAATCTCTTCGATGACGACTCGTGTGGTACAGGCTGTGAGAGGTGTTACACTTTGTGCGTTAGCCGTTCTAAGAGAGAGGCCGGATAATGGCATCAGAACTTTGCGCAGTTTGCGGCACAGGTTGATGGAAAGGACGGATAGAGCGGCTCCGGTGTCGACAAGCGCCATGACGACGATACCATCGACTGACACTTCAATGACGTTTGCTGGACAGGGGCGAGGACTTGTGCATGGCGACGGGGACGCAGTTCGTGCCTCGGGAACTGCGGCCGTTAGTTTTCCTGGTCGGTGGGTCCGGAACGGCGCGCATAGGGGAAAGCGAACGTCGACGTGGAGATGGGGAGCGGCGGGTGGGACCATGTGGACGATCAGAAGGAAAAAAAGAGGAAGGAGAGCCTGAAGGCGTAGAAGAAAACTGAGGGTCGAAAGAGGGCATTTGTCGAATGTTCTGAGCAGCCTGGCGATGACGACAATAACGTGCCACGTGGCCAACACCGCCACAAGAAAAACATATCGGATGGTTGTCGTGAGTCCACCATTGGTCGGAGTAGGCTCCGGCTTGCGGCTGGGGGGCAGAAAACTGCGGCCGAGGTGGTATCGGCATAGGTGACGGTGAATAGGTCGGCAGCGAAAAGGGCGGCGACGAATACGTAGGCGCTGGCTGGAACGCTGGCTGTCAAGGCTGAGCAACGGCCTCGGAGTACGTGAGAGGTGCAGCGACTGGCGGCGGTTCACGGGCGGGAGGAAGAACTTGTGCGACCTGGTCTTGAATGAAGTCGCGGAGTGTAGACGTCAATCTGCGTGGTTGACCGGGTACGCAGGACATCAAAGAGAACTGACGAGCGACCTCAGCGCGGATGAACTCTTGGATCTTGGAGAGAAGAGAGGCATGGTCTTCTCCTATGCCAAGGGTAGACAGGCTGGACAAAGAGTTGTCGAGCACCGAGGGACGTCGGGTGGAAAGACGTTGCCTGCGCAACTCGTCAAAACTCGTCAGTTCTAGGACAGTGCGAGGACTCTTAGAAAGCAACATTTCGAAAGCGTCGTCCTCAATGCCCTTCATGATGTGCTTGATCTTAAGCTCTTCGGACACCGACTCGTTGACTCGCTTGCAAAGGTCCAGAACGTCCTCAATATAGCTTGTGAAATTCTCACCAAGCTGCTGGGACCGAGTATGCAAGCGTTGTTCGGCATGGCATTTGTGTACCTCAGGCCGTCCGAAAACTTGTGTGAGGCTCGTTTTGAAGACCGACCATGTAGGGAGTACCGCTTCGTGGTTTATAAACCACAGCTTGGCCACGTCCGACAGGTAGAAGGAGACGTAGGCCAACTTGGCGGCGTCATCCCATATGTTGTGAGTACTCACTCGCTCGTACATTGAAATCCAGTCGTCAACGTCCTTTTCTTCTGTGCCTGAGAAAACAGGGGGATCTCGCAGATGCAAAGAACCGGCGCAGAGAACAGTAGGCGGTGCCGGTGGAGGAGTTGGAGCGACGCTTGCATCGGTAGGCATAATGGATGGTAAAATGCGATTTCGAAGCTCCTGGGTGATCGAAACCCAGTAGACTCCACCACTTGTAACGGGGTTTATTTGCAGAGCAGAACGCAGAAAGCGAAGCGGTCAGCAGCGTCCGGCCAAGCGCAGCAAGCACAAGCTTATGCTGATGGCGATGCCCCTGAGGTGCCGAGAAACGCTGCTGAGGCCCCTCTTATTCACTACAATATATATATATATATATATATATATATATATATATAGTGCGTGGGAAACTGTCATAGCGCATTTAACATGTCTTTTGTAAACTAGGTTCTCCATTCAGTTTCATATACATAAAGAATTTTTCGTGTTCCTTGCTGTTCGTGTCTCGTTGAACATATCTAGAGACCATGACAATAGATTGATATGGCTGAGCCCTTTAGATCGGGCGGCGGCTAACACTGCCTAGCCGTAATACTTAGTGAACAAAAACTAGATTTATCTTTTTCTTTGTGCATTATGCAGGTGCCGTCTGGTGATAGTGTCCGAAAGTGTTGTCATACGTTAGTAAAGTGATAAAATTACACACTGCAAATCAATCACGTCAAAAGAGAACAAGAGGAAAAAGAAGAAAATGAATAGGGAATGACCTAATCGATTGAAAACATAAGCACGTTGCATTTTTCTTAGAGCGACTTGCCATACTTTCTAATGGCACTTCGCACGTTATCAAAATCGAAAAACATATGCACAAAAAGTCACCACACTTGCAAAAAAAAAAAATCAAGCTACAATTATTACCTACTATGCCCAATGCACAAAAAGGGGGGATGGGAGCCATTAGCCTGAGCGTAGTCCGTGTTTACGGAGTGTAGCATCACTGTAATATTTCGTTCACTGAATAGCACATTAAACTGGAGCGAGTGCAACGTCGTCTGTAAAATGAATTGTCAACGTGCCGATTTACCCAAAGATACGTCGCCAAGTACATAGAGCTGTTTTACGACACTTGTATTCGGGCGCGTTGCTTGTATTCTTCCTGTTGCGCTACCCCACTGGTTGAGGGCTAAAAAACGAAACGTGCAATGCAGGTGCACCAATCAAGAATCGTATCAGACCAATCACTGCAACTGCGCAGGAGTCCAAGTCAAAGCCAGAAGCGCTATTGCAACGCTCACCCGGCTGGCGATGACTCGGAAGCAGAGTACAGCTGAACAGCCAATTCACCGAGCTTGGTGAAGGCAGCTCCTGCGGCTGTGAAAATTTCCCCCACCTGCGAATCACAACAAAAGAAACGCGGCAGTTCTGCAGACAGTTTGGTGACATCAACACTGTTACTTTCCTCCTAATTAGTGATGATCACAGAAAATCGCGAATCACTACGCTATACTTTATTTCTTGCGCAGCTGCGTTGGGCAGTGCATGAAGTAGAAGCAACGACCAAATGAGAGAATGGTTCCCCACTTATACAAACTCACCTTACTTGCACTTCCATGACTCATTTTCAGCGCTAAACTTAGAGCGTGTCAAACGACCTGATAGTTGTTTACAAGTGCTACAGTGCCAGCAACAATTGAACTTCTAGCTCACTTTACTTCTAACGCCATTGTAACCGCCGCCATCATCTTCTTGGATTTGTCTACGCCTTCTTATGTGCTGTCATAGTACATTACAAACCCTTGAAACTAAAGCAAATTTTATGCGTACTTTTCAAGCTTTAAAAACAGCTTAATAACCGCGTTATAAAATTATTTTGAAACACAAACGTGATTGTAGACACAAAACATTAAATAAGATTAAAAAAAAACAATCCGAAAGTCGATCAACAGCCGAAAAGGCGCCAAACTATAGCCAAACTTCATGGCGCCAAACACATCTCGATCTCTGGCTAGTACTGTACTGTGTTCTGGGCTGTACTCTGGCCAAGTGTTTCGCATTCTTTTGAGAGTGAGCCGTGGTCATCATGTCGATCTCATCGGAGGGGGCTGAGAAGGTCGTGTTTCCTACCACAGAATGGGAAAACAACATTACCGTAATTCCGCGCGTCAGCGAAGAGAGTATGTTGAGATATTACACAAGCAGGCCAGGCACTGCGCGCAACCGCAACGTCAATCCCTTTGTGCTATCGTCTACATTCCAGAGCAACATCTCCAAAATAAGGTGTGGTTTCTGCCCTATCTTTTACCACCGCTCTTCTACCTGTGTCACAGACGAAAACGTGAAAGCAACTGTGAAAGATTTGACGAGCCCTCGTTTCTTTGACACAACCTGGATGAAAATCAGCAGATAATGAAGCCAAGGAAGCTACAGGGGACGTTGATTGTTCTTTCTCTATAAGCAGTGTAATAATTGCTGGTAAAAGTAAAGTGGGTGACGAGGCTACTTGCCGGCGGCAGGGACAAACCCTGCGACCTTTGGATTATGCGCCCAATTCGTTCCCTCGTCTGCTTGTCGGATTTTCATGTTCACGCAAACGTAGGATTGTTCACCGAAGAATAAGAATGAGTTGGAGCGCATAGGGCAGACAATCCTAAATAAGAACTGGAAGTCTGATGCTGTCCTTAAATCGAAAAGTGTGCAATCACTGTATGCTGCCAGTGCTGAAACCAGGAGTAAAACAAGTAAGCTAGAGAAAAGGTCTTGCAAGGATTGAAATGGTTACTGAGAGTCACAAACGCCGCCGAAGATGGCAACGAGTAGATTAAGCAGCAAAATTAAGGCTGGTAATGACGACAACAGCAGTAAGACTTTTGACATGTGTGAGTTGGTTCATACCTGGTTAAAAGCGCAACATGGCCAAGACGCCCAAGCACAAAGCGACATCACAAAAAGGTGGTTGTCAGCACTGGAGATGTGGTGTTGTGTTACTTGTTGTCTCCATCTCATTGCATATGTTTTCAAGGTGGGAAACAATGCCCCACATAGTGTATTGCACTGTATATATCTTTCACCCTTTTGTCTCAAATAATTTATTATTGGTCTCTTTGATTACAGTGATGGGCTTGTCTTCGTCAAGGCAAGTTGCTACCGAAATGCAGAACGAGAGTCAACCTATCCCGTCTTCGCTGCCATAAACTCCAAAGGAGAAATCATTAGTGGCAGCTGTAAATGTGTGAATGGACGAAGTGCCTGCAATCACCTGATGGGAACCCTCAAAACCGTTCAACTGCTGCAGTCGAGGGGCTTTGCGAAAGTACCACAGAAGCTCCGATGCACCAACCTCAGAGAAGAAGAATTGGTAGACGATTTCAGGCATCAGATGCAGAAACTATTCCCTCGCCGCTGTCGCCGATTTCAGATGCCCCGCCAAAGCATACAGGAGCAGGAGGAGTCAACGGAACGTTTCCGTAAAGCTCTGCTTGAACATGCCCCTAATTCTCTTATGGCGCTATATATGCCTGAACCACCGCTCTCATACGAGATGACTAAAAGCGGTCCCGCCCCGGTACGGACTCCTGCGACATACCAGGAACCTCTTCTGTGCTATCAATTCAGAGAAGCCTTGGGCTATCCCTGAGCATTGTAGTGAACACCTTTAGTGCTATTTTATTGTATGTTCATAATAGGTGAAGCTGAATGCGATGCTTGCGTTCTGAGTGAATCTCAATAAAGAAAAGTTGGAAATGCATGTGATACACTGCATATAAAATACACATATACAGAAGGAGGTCTCATAATTCACAAGACTGAGAGTGAAATATCGTGTAATATTGTAAATCAGGAACCAATATTTTGGTAATCAGTGGTGAACCTAGAAAAATAAGTTATACAGAATTTTCAGGTAAGAAAAAGAAGTTAAAACTCAATCTACTTAAACCCAGTTTTACAACTATCTCAATCTAGCGAAATTTCCATATCCTGGCAGGTACCCATAAGGAGCCAACTTTCATTTGAATCTTTCACAAGGATGACTTCGTTGGATGTGCTCTGTAATGCTTGAACATCTGGCCACCCTAATAACAACACTGCTTATTACTTTGAGGAGGCTGCACCCAGCACTTGGTAGGAAGAATTATAATAATTTGTATTTAATGTTTAAGAACCACGACATTATTATGAGGAACATTATTGTGGAGGGGTTTTGGAGATTTCAACCACCTGGAGTTCTTTAACGTGCACCTAAAAATAAGTGCACGGGTCTCAATAATTCTTGCTTCCATCCAAAGTGCAGCCGCTGCGGCTGGGATTAGGGGGTCACCACAGTTGGTAGTATTCTTGCATATCAACAGGTTCTGAGCTGTGTTGGTTTGTCGTCCCTGCAAGTACTCCCACAAAAATACTAGCTGTGGTTGCTTCTCTTATTCAATGGCTTATACAACAGAATGCATTGATTTTGTCTTAATAATTTTCAGGCTCTGTCTGCGTGCACATTATTTGCAATCGTTTTAAGCTTCTTTGATTATTGGCTGCTTTTCATAGGTTATGTGCAGAAAAAATGAGAGAGGGGTGGGTAGGGCAAGATCATTGCATCGACTAAAAAAAAGACTGCATTCGTCTTCAAGTTGTCTAAAGAGAATGCATTAAGTAGGCCACAATGCTTTTTTGCGCAGACTTTGCTGGTGCACAGTGAACAACGTCAAGTTCAGCGTACAATTAATTTTGTTCCCAAATGACTGCTTTATGGCGACCTCCGACTATGCTGTTCGAGGTCAGCCACCATCTTCTTTAGTCTTGTTCTTACTTTTCAGAGCTCTGCCAAAACAACAAAGTTCGTACTGTTGGTTGCGGGCTGCTGCAACAATGCCATTAAGTACTATGAGGCATGCACCTTCCCTGCAATTTCCAAATCAGTATTACCGAGATCAAATCCTGATCTTAATGTTGATATCGACTATAATTTTGTCAACGAGCTCCGTCATTCTGCAGTAAAATTTTGCCTCTACTTCTTTCATTTCTTTAGCAAATTGATTCATAGGCACTGCGAACCCACAGGCAAAATACTTGAAAGCAAATGCACACACAATTACAAATTGTTTTTTAATTCTGGCATCTTAAATTTTCTTCATGTTCATAACTTCTTCACAAAAGAAAAGTTTCCGAGTTGCAATGAAGATATTGCAATATTCCACTATTCTTGGGAAGGGCTCAATTTAGCCATACAAGTGCTGGGCTGATACTAGAAATGCATTAATTTGTAATTGAATATGGATTACTTGGGACCGTGCAGTGCCTGGAATACGTGACATGGGTTCAAGCATCTAGCTGGTGCACTTGGCCCGCTTTTTATTGCTATGCTGCAACATACCACAAGAGATGAACAGCTGAACATTTTTTTAACCGTTTCACTTCGTGTAGACTCCATGACGTGAACTGGATCTGCTGCAAATTTATTTCTTTATAGAGATTCTGCACTTGGGACACGAAGACGTCTACATGACTGTCCGTGCCTTGGAATGCCATCCCAACAAAAGCAAAGATGGAATACACAAGCATTCGTGGCCAGAAGTGAATGAGCAGAAATAAATATGACTGCTGTGGAAAACATCTGCAGTATTAAAAAACAACAGGTGTGTGAAACGTGCAGTTATGTTGCAGCGTTAACAGGAGGAGTTGTTTTCCAAGAACTCGTCATAAACTCCTAGTGCATATTGAAGGTACCGAGTCTAGTAAGCAGTGTTTTAATGTGTGTGCATTTATCGAAATAGTGTCAGGTTTGCCTTGTGATCCTAAAGTTACTTTATTCTACACTGGGGAACGAGGGCACGGAATGAAATGAGTGATGAATGACTAACGAAAGGAATTAAAGAACTTATCAAGGGCTTTTTTTTTGTTAGACACAGCCTACTACACGTCTATAATCATGGGCACTTCTTAGTAGTCCACCTAGTCCAGTGTCTTCAACGATCGCTAAGCCACTTTTATGATCGCAGCTGACATGTTTATGCCAGGCTAAGGACTTGACGTAAACCTATGCACAAGTTTTAATACACTTTGTTCATCTCTGCCATCTGTCTTTTCCTTTTCACCTGTTGTCGGCACATTCCAAGAGCCAATTTTGGTAGAACTGTCATCGATATGTCCTCGCTAGTCAAATATGTAACAGTTGGGTGCTGGCCAACCACATCTGAGAGCTATGCCACAAATTGCTATCATCATGAGCAACAGCAGCATCGACCAGTGTCTTCTATAATGCTTGAAAACTTGCATGTGCAAGTATGCAGCTGCAAACACTGCCTGGAAGATGCATAGCGCTGCATCGGGTGTCATGTTGTGTGAATTATGTAATGAGTGGATGGCTTCCCGTTTCCCACACATCAAAGTGGATTTGGTTATAACTTCTAATTATCAGAAGCATCTAAAACTTTGTCTAGCTTATGCGTAGCAGAACTCGATGTTTCATGCCACAATGAATTTTTTTACTGGTGGGCTCTTTAAAGGGACACTAAGAGCAAGACGATTTTTCGTGTATTAGTAAAGTACATTTTCACAATCCCAAAAACACTTTTCTCCTCCCCACCTGACACTTAATAAGCAAGATAACGTGCAAAAATAAAATGTGGCTGGTGATGCCATTTTGAGATTTTCACACTAAACACCGTAATGTAAGAAATATTGAAGGTATCTACTGAGTACTACATAGGCTCCATTCGATAAAAATGAAGTATATTACAATCTCTGAGTGCCATAGACTTGAAATACGAAGTTTCATAAAATTTCTTGAGCCAATGCCACAAAAATAACAAAAATACTTCTAAAAATTTCTTACATCATGCACGAAGATTCTGGCATGAAATTTAAGAATAAAATGAACCTTGATTTTCTCCCCTAATAATTAACTTACAATAGCACAAAATATGGCATTAGAGTTTTAAGAGTGCAGTTTGTCAATATCAATCAAGTCAATGTTCTTCTTTTGTGTCCCTTTTAAACTACCCGAACAATAGAAAGGCAGTGCGACATTTCAGTGGCCCGCCCACATCTTCCTCTATGGCCCGGTTAATTCGGCCCATAAACATACTCTGACAAACTACCCTGACATTCTTCAAAAGTATCTCAACCTTCACTTGCATTATAGAGTTTTCACACCTGTTTAAATTCTTTGATATGAAGGCCTGCACTTTCAGGCCTGCACGGAGTGCACAGCGAAAGCTGGAAGAGCAGCCTTTCTAGAACTACAACTTGTTAACTACAACTTGTCAATAAAACTTAACAAAAAATGACTTGTTAATAAAAAAGGGAACACGAATTTTAGTTACCAAATAAGAGACAACTGTTGTGCTCCAGAAGTGGATAATGCCGTGTCATAAATGACTGATGTAGGTTTTTTTTTACATGTGTTCTCTTTCTTCATTAGGATATGCATACTTGCCAACCCAGCAGGACGAAAATTCAGGAGACTGCAGTGGGAGGAAGGAGGCGGGCAGAGTCATTCTTTTTTTTCATATCTGACATTATTGAGATTGACACATTTGCAATGCGTTGTCGTTGCATCCGTGCACTGCAACTACGAAAGCACTGTGGTTCAGTGCCTCCAAGCATTGCGTTTTTGGCATCTGCAGCCATTTCCCCTTTGATGGCAGTTGTTCTCGTAGATCCGTATTCTTACCGCTTCACATCCTTGCACTTCGAGAGCATTTCCCAAAACAATGGTCTTAGGTGATCACTGATGCTCATCCGCAAGTTACGTTTCACAAGAAATACCATGAATAGGCATGCTGTGCTGATTGCATTGTCTTTGCAGCTCTTTCGGAAAAAACTTTCGATGTCCTGCCCTTCCACAGCACAAATGCACTTCTGATGCTTTTGTGAAGCAGTATGTTGGCCTTACCACCGTGCAAAACGCATCACAGGTGGACGCGGTATACAGGATTTATACTTGTCACCTTTCCGTGTAGTCGCAAAGCATAAAAACTCAGTTGTGCAAGAGTCCAGAAATGCTTGCAAACACTTCTTTACTTTTGAAATTGCCATCGACCTTCCAAATGAACTCAGGGAAACACGCAATCCCCAAAACCCCATACCAAACACAAATGATGCCTAGGAAAGTGGCGCATGCCTAATGTACCTCGCAAGGCAGACAGATGCAAAACCTGTGGTCGTGTTCTTTCGGTATGGTGGTGACCAGGTTTTGCGGCTGCCCGCCTTCGCCCAGATGCGCAGTATACTACAGCACTTAGAATATACTTAGTGGTACTGTAAGGTATAGTTCCAATGAACTAGAAGTGCACTGGCGAATGCTCTTCCTGTTGCAGCGGAAAGGCTAACATTCCCGCATGATTTAAAAAAATAAAGATCCGCTGTGGCAGTCACTGTTTGAGAGATTCAAAATAGCTTTCGTACAATTGGAAGATAAGGTCAAAATTTGGAAGTCCCCTGGACAATTCGGGAGAGGTGGCAGATATAAATACGATCGATGTTAATAATGCTTTCTATAAATAAGCACTTGACCCAAAATTCAACCGTTAGTTGAATTCAACTCTCTGTCCTGTACCTTCAGAGTTTTCTTGCGATGTGTTTCTGCTGTTATAAATACCTATGAACTATGCATTCCCAACTTGCCTGCCAGCACAAGCATTACCAAAATAAAATAAGAACATCTCAACTTCAAAGCAGCTAAGTTTATCAACGTGCTAAGGATCACGGAAAACTTTCTTGTTGCTTTTTCTCACCTACTAATCTGACTGGCATTGTGGCTTTAACATAAACTGTGTATGTTTGACAGACACAAGCCTCGGTGAGGGTTGTTCATACACTTCCTAATATCATGGCTACGCAATAAAAAGTCTCACTCAGTTGTTCACATATGTTTTAATAACGACTATGACACCAATGCTCACAGGAACACAATGTTGCACCATGTAAGTTGAATGATGCGGAGATCAAACAAAGGTTAAATATTAAGCAGGCTGTGCAGTAGTGGGTCCACAAAAAAAATATACAACAGCCAAAACTCATGCACCAACAAGCAAGTCCCAGCAGAGCATGGGAGACCTACCGTCTTTCCAACAGAACTGGAGTGCTGTAATGAAACAGATGCATGTTAACCAACAAATTTATCACTGGGATACTGGATTTGTGAGCACACAGCAACACATAGTGGCAGGTTTTCTCACATCCCTGTCTATGAAAGGGTTTCCCCCACCTGCTCCCTTTGCCTAGGCAAACTGAAATGTCCACATATGCTGCCCAGACAGGATAGGCGCCAAACCATGAGTGCTGGTCTTTCTTTTACTTCAGTTGGCACATCAGTGGTTGTCGAGCGGGAAACACAGCTGCTCAAACTTGGATGGTACACCTCCACCTTTGTATGCTACGCAGAGGCAGTAGTGCGACAACAGTTGATCCAAGAGCTCCCTTTCATCCAGCAATTCCAGTTTCTCGACCCTGGAAGCCAAATAAATGACAAACCTTATGTCTGATACACCAGAAAGAGAAGCCATTAAGATGCCTTTTTCACCTTTCCTATCATTCTTTTTTTTTTCATACAGTAGATTTACATTTGTTTATTATGTGCACGTATGCCTCATGGCACAACTTAAATCAACACGTGCAAGTGCAACTTCTGAATAAAACCATAGACAAGCTGGTGCACTGGGTCATGTGTCCAGAACCTTTATTCACGCTTATTACTGTTTTATTTGATATGTTTCAGTTTGTCAATTTATGGAAATACATTTAATGATGAGGAAACGTGGTCATAAAAGGCAAAAAAAAAAAGAGTAAAGCCTTGAGGAGGCACTGTACAACAAAAAATAAACAGGTAATAACAGCGCCACGTGAAAAACAACTACAAATGCATGTGAGCAACATTAACAGTAACGTAATCTTGGCAAGTACAGCACACACGTATATGTCACAGATCTGTTTGGTCAATAATTGCGAGAAAGTTTCAACTCTTTCATTTGTACAGTACAGTTACAACACAGTAGAGAAATTCGAGTGCCTGTGCTTGTATTACTAACCTGTGCAATTCTGAGGCAGGAAATGACTGGTAAACTTGGTTCATAGTCCACACTTTGCACACCTCCCAACCTGACTGGCGGGACCTGCATCAGCAACAAAGCAAGATGCTTGTTTGGGCAAGAGAATTGTACACCTAGCACCCAGATGGCTAGTGTGTGTTAATGCAAGGAATGGCAGCTGCTACACTCGCTTTTAATTATGTATCACTGTAACTGGGGGTCAGGGCATTATATTTCTTGACCACTTGTGATGAAACTCTGGAAGTTCATGTATATTTGTGCCTCAATTCCAAATGTGCAATAATTTTTCTAATACAATGTGTAGTTTTCGCAATACAAAATATTCATGTGCCCTTTGGTGAGCAATATTATTACTAAACTGTGAGAATTACAAATAAATCAGCATTTCAAGATAATCTGGAATAAGAACTGGGCACAGTGCAACTTTTTAAAATATGGATGTGGCCAATCAATTAGAACAAAAGTTGTGGTATTTTGAACATTTGCAAGTGAAATTCCAGCTTAAAATTTACCCGCTCGCAAATTTTCAATATACAATAACTTTCGTTCAAATGGGTTTAGAACATTCATATTTGTTCCGCTGCACACGGTACAGATTTCAAGTTATTCTGATATGCTGATTTGCTTTGTAACTTACTCAGTTTAGCAAAATAGTGTTCCCTAAAAGGCACAGGAAATATCTTGTATTTCAAAAACTACACGTCATACTAGAAACACAATTGCACACTTGAAATCAGCACACAAACATCACTGTATCACTGTAACTCTCCAAGTATAATCAAAACCAACCAAGAAAAAAAATCACAGCATATCCACGGAGTGAATGAGGATGAGTGGGGCGAAGCCCTGGAGAGTTTCATCACTAAACTGTGAACCATCTGCGAATATCGCCCACTACATCATCAAAGACGTGATAAACACTGTACATAGTTATACAAAAAATGTTATTATTGGTAAGTGGTAGCTATACGGTGCAGTGATAGATTGATGATGGGGCTTAGCGGGATGTTTGCGAGAACGAAGTAGTGGGCAGTTGGTAAAGGTGGCACAATAGGTGGTCACGTAGAAGCAAGGAATGGACACAGTAGGAAAATCTATAGTTATTTAACGCGCACCTGGATACAAGTAAACGACCGACCATCTTGCATTTCACATTGGCTACTTCTCAACAGTATCAGCTTATGGTCAATGAAGTGGAGGATTGGTGATGGGGTGTAGTGGGATGTTTGCAAGGTGGCTACATACTGTGAAATGAGTTTCCTTTACTGTTTCCATTGAGTTTCCACACTGGTCTGGATTGTCACGCTCAGTTACTGTGGCAGTACCATCATAGCCATTTCAAAAGCTTTGACAGCTAGCAAACCCACAATGAAAGATACAGTACATGACTAATGGCTAAAATGCAGCAGACATTGCAGCACCCAAGGTGGCACTCATTCTGCAGAATATGGAAAAGATGGTGCCAACTCCTCTTTCGTACATTCATATGCCAATGCCCAAAGGAACATTTATTTTTTGCTGCTTTTGCCATTGGGCACGTTTGAATGACAACAGTAGTAGGACAGCTTTAACAACAGTGCAATTACTGGCCTTTCTTCTTGTGCTTTGATGGTAGTGCATGCCTGCAGCCCGGCTAAAAGGCAATTGCGCTGCTTTAGGTTCTCCACCATGACCTCGGCAAACTTGTCGTCCATGTTGACCTGCACAGGTGCAACCAAACGCAAGAAATTTAAACGAAGACGCAATCTACGACGCAATGCAGACATGTTACAAAGGCTGAAGGCACCAATTATAGCCGTACTGAATTAATATCGTTTCTCAGAATTAGTACAACACAAATGGCCTAACTACATCAGCTGACAGTATGTATGAATCTAAAGCCCCAGCATTGACGGATCATCACATAAGCAGTGCTTTTCTTTTGAAGCGTGAAAATTTTTAGATGTTCCCATGATTTAGGCATGCGAAGAGAACCAAAAGCACGGATGCACTTGGTCTGAGAAATTAAGGAATATACACATTATGTAAATAGATCAAGGGTTCTTGTCTTGCATAAATAGTGCTTTAAAGAGGCCATCACTAACTACTGAACCATACCAATTTCTTTCTAAGAGGCTGCAATTAGTGATTTTTATCATGTGTCAAGGAAATAGATTCTGCAGACGCGCGACGAACCAAAGTGTATCCTAGTCAGAATGTGCTAGCACGGGCCAGTGTGTTCGGGTCTGCGTAAACGTCTTTGTAAGAGGCTGTGCCCTCTCCCCCTTACACTCTTTCAGCAATCACGTGATGGCGAGGGCGAACGAGACGCTGCAGACGTGCGATGAACGCACACACTCCTGTGTCGCGAAATGGTGAACCCGCGTGGCGTGCTCCAACAAGAGTTCAGGACGAGTGACAGCGAATTTGACGTGCGCTCCACTCGCAAGGACACATTAACATCAGGCAAGGTGCCTGTGATGAACAGAACTTAAAGTTGACCCATGCGCTGCTTCACAGGCTACTCATGGTTTCTTTTAGTGGGAGGTGGTGTAAAATTTTTACATCCTGAGCTATTTGCATTCCTTTACTAGAAATATTGAGATGAGTGCTCGTTTAAATGGTAATAATTTTTTTTTTGTTTGAATAATATTGCTTTTGTCTTGCATCAGGTTCACCTGTTGCACATTTTATACTTGTTAGATTTGAAATGTGTATAATCGAATAACTCAGTCGCAAAAATCATAACTGTAAGACTAAACAAAAAGTCATGTGAACTGCATATGTGACATTCAACCTCACCATCAATGTTGACTAAACAGTAAAAAAAAGTTCCTGCTAAGGTTGGATAAAGTGAGTAGTTTTTGTTAATGTAGCACTAATGTGCTTTCTACTGAGTTTACAACTCAATGTCATTAAAATGAGGAGGAGAATGCTGCTATAAATACTTGTCTTTTTTTTAGAATTTCACTACACATAGTGCAAACACACATTAGAATTACAGCAAGGTAGGGTGCAAGAAAAAAAGGACAATAAAGATAATTCAGTGCCAGACGCACGGCTAGTCAGTCACAGTGACTAACTAATGTTAATGCATCAACTGTCAACCAAAAGATAATATTAACCGGATGTTAATGCATCAACTTACAGGGTCATAGGAGACAAGCACGGCATTTGGGAAATTGCGTGTGATCCAGGACAGAAGTGCCGATGACTCATCGCAACTCATGTAGACAAGCACGCACTCGGCGATGAACATTGTAGGTAGCTTAAGGTCCAGTCCAGACTCGTGCACCACCTTGGCTTCAAACACATCAAGCTCTCGCAGGTCACAGCCCACCAGGTGGTATTGACCAGCGTGCAAGTCCGAAGCGTTGACTCGGACATCGTCGTCTGCATACACGCAAGCAGTTGCATGGTTACAAAGGGTAACTGCATCACCATCACTTCATGGGAACAAGCAGCGGCACATTTTGTACTTAACCGAAAGCTGGTGAGCTAACACTTGACGACTGATGGATCAGCAGCTGGTTAAACGCATCTAGAAAGGGCAAAAGGAGGCAGTGACATGCAAATTAAAGGGTTAGATATGTACAAATAAGGAGCAGCATGCTGCTACAGAAGAAAGACGAATCCAGCACAACAGTGCCAGATGGGTATGGGAAAAGCATGCTACTGCAAAGAAGACCTTTGAAGGTTGTGGAAGCTGTGAAGGAGAAACAAATGGTTTAAAAGCTAGATCGTATAATGCTGCATGCTCAAACGTCAGTCAAGCTAACAATACATAAATGGTGAGCTGAGGACATGTAGTTGCCCACTAGGTATTTATGTTTGTTTTGGGGTAAAACAGCAATATACACACTCATGAGGATTCGCTCTCTAATTTCGGCCAATACAACGAAAACAAAGCAGCCGACATACGAGGGCGAAACACGAGACCGAGCACAACACATCACAGAGCCATTTGGTTGACAGATGAATTTGTGCAAGCATCAAGAAACCAGGTGCAGGAGGTGATGAAGACGAAACAGACCTTCAGTGGCAATGCCCTTGAGCAGCTGTTTGCGCAGACGGATGTAGTAGCACTTGCGCGTGGTGACCGCAGGTAAGTCTACCTCAACGAGGCTTTTAAACTGCGCTTTCTCGTCCATGAGCCGCCAAAACAAGGTGTCGAATCCCGCACCCAAATTGACGACTTGGCACTCGGGACCACAGACCTGCGTGCACGAAGTTTTCCAGCTAGTAAACGCACGCTACGCCGTTGATCGACAGAAAGTTGATCGCGCTTGCCAAAACGAAATTGTCGATGGCCCGACCGATCAACCGCATAACAGAAAAACGTGACAGCACATGAGCTGCGCATTTGACACATTGGGAATCACTTGATAACACACATATATAAGACAGATTTCACTTTCTTTCGATTTCTTTAAACCAAGACGGTTACATCTTTTACCTTGAGGAACTTGTCCAATAGCATTTTGATGCCTTGAACTCTGGCATAGTAGCCGCGGCTGATCTCTGGTGTTTTGCGTTCCGTCGCCTTGACAAAGTACTGTATGTAAGGGTCGTGCCAGTATCCTTTGGTAACCGCATCCCTTTTGCTTAAGGTGGCATCAAGGTTGGTTTGTATCACAGGGTCTTCGTCGCTCATAGTGCACAGCTACTGCAACACAGGCGCGTTCTTTGTGGCACCGCCTCTTCTGGAGGTCGTCTCACGAGCAGTTACTGGGAATGCCGCAGCGTTGCCGCGGAACTACCAAGCGTAATCTCCATGCAGCGACGAGACACAGCAGCAAGGAAGCGATCTCCACCAGTACTAGTGCTGCAGAGCCGCATAGGCGTGGACAGAATGATAAAAAACAGTCGAGTAGCATCACTATCATCATCCATACTACAACATGGAGGTGTTGCTGAATCCATGTCTGTCAATGGTTGAATCCGAAAGAGTTATACGGAAGCGTGCCTGTGAAAGGTGTGGTGTAGTGTAGTGGTTATGCTTGCTCTTGAAGCTTCAAGCGAAACTTTAATTTGGGGAGCAGCTGCCCCACCGCGCAGCCGCTGATCTGCATGTGTCCGGAGTTGCTGCACGGTAATTAATTTTTTCTCCCCTTCCTAGGCCCCTAGGAAGGGGAGAAATATATCGCACTACAATATATCGCATGCATCACAACCACGAGGCTATGATTATGGTCACAACACCGTGCACCGTCCGTGCACAACACGCCACAACCAACACAGCTAGGGCGGTGTCAAACTGTATTATGTCTCTATGCGCTAACGTTACTTTGAGAGTGGATTGATATTAACAATAAACCCTTGAAGTCGCTAGCTAGCAGTGCACGCAATGTGCACGTGTGAGTGCATGCTCCGCGATAACTGCCGATTATGTTTTGTATGAGAACAATTTTAAAGTGACACTATTTATTACTTTCTTTTTACAAAATTTTGCTCGTTAACATCATCTCACAAGCTTTTTCTTTTATTTTTTTTTATCAATCCAAAACAGTATCCGGAAACAGCTGGTACGAGCACAGAGCACGAGCCTAGCGTGATTGTGAGTGGACTGCGGACACCTAGTGAACTGGTGGTTGTGGTGGTTCTGCAGGCAAAGGATAAAACTAGTGCTGTCGGTCCTGTGTTCTTGAAGAACTAATTGGTCGCTGCTCATAATGAAGTTCGTCACGTACGTGTCGGACGCGGTGACCGACAACTTTGTGACGCGGTACGTGCGCGGCTACACGCACGGAGCGCCGTCCCATGCGAGCCCTCCTCCGCACGAACTGTCGAGGCCGCCCTCGTGGGCGTGCCACCTCGTCAAGAGTGGCGGCGGCTTCGTCCGGCTCGCGGGACTGTCGGGAGCACTGGCCGTCGCCCTCGGCGCTTACGGCGCACACGGTAGGCAGCGCGCGAACGGCGCACTTTGGCACGGCCTGACGCTTTGAATCGGAACTTCGCAGATTCACGACGGCATATTCGAGCATAGTAGTGTATCATGCGATTCATTTCATATAATGTAGTGCTGGCACCTCGGGCGCAGCTTCTGAGCGGTAAATGTAGTACCGAAAACGAACTTCGTAGTTAAGAGTCACTTTACCGCTCAAGCCGCGCGGACACCCCGCACAGAGCGGACGGCGCCGGCCGTCGTCCGCTAGTCTCTCATTAGCTGCTCAACGAACAGAGCCAATGAGATACGGGTGAAGGGCAATACGACCTTTGCGGGAGATTCGTGTGGCTTGAGCTCATAGTAGTGCATTGTGAATAGAAGTTTTCTGTGAAGAACAAAAGGGAAGCAAGTTTATAGAAAAATACAACCCTGCTCCTGTTCTCTTGTCTCAGCTTTTTTTTTTTTTTTCTACCAAAAAGTATAAGCTTAACGCAAGGCCATTATCTCCTTTTTCATTGCCCAGCCAAAATATCGCCTTCAAAATCTTACCTAGGGAACCTTTCGAGCTCGGTACCTTGCGATTATGTAGACACATCTGCTGCTCTGTTCTGTTCGTGGAAATACAATTTCCGTAAATCTTGCTTGGGTTGTCAAACACTGCTGATGCTACTCCTGCAACTGCGAAGAGGCAAGAGGACATAGGCAAGAGGACATGTTTTTGCGATTGTTTTGCGATCGAAAGAAATGTTCTTCACAGTGCATTGAACCAACTAGACAATAGACCGTTTTCAGAGGAAAACATCTCCCGACCATGGCCCTACACACTGCAGGTCAGCAAAGCAGTGGATTGACTAGCCTAAGTGATTAATTACAGGCATCCAAGAGATTGCCAGCACCTTCATCCCTCGTCTTCTTTCAGTCTTTTCCCCAAAGAATACAGTAGTAAAACTGATGCCTCCTTGCTTTTCCCTCCTCCTCCTCTTACCCTGCACATTGCATAGAAAACAATCTCAATACTTGGCAGTGCGGCAATCAAGTTGTAACACATGTAAAAAGTGAACGTTACAGCTTTTCCATTGCCAATGGAGGTCAAAATCCTCGTGCTTAGATTTAGGTGCATGTTAAAGAACTCCAGATGGTCAAAATTTTTGGAGCCCTCCACTAAAGAGTCTAATAATCATATCTCCATTTTAGGACTTTAAACCTCAATTATTATTACAGTCTCTCGCGGGACTATTCTGATTTACGACTCCTTCATCACACAGCACTGTTCAAGCGGGACGACGTACCGGAAGAGCTGAAGGAGGCATACGACCGTGCCAACCACTACCACTTCTTACACACGTTGGCACTGCTGGGTGTCCCGCTCACGAGGCGTCCGGCACTGGTCAGTGTACTTGCTGCATACAACATCGCAAGTATTAATAATCATGATGCCATTGTGTAAAGCACTCCTGCTCATATATGCTTCAGTCACCTAAATATCCCACTATGTGTGTAATATATCCTGCTGCCATAATAAGATACGGCAGGTTCGTTTATGGTTTCAGTACTTCTTATCATAACCGCGTGTTATTACAATTGCCGATGCAGTTTTTTGCAACATTCTACGGTCATCCAAGTGTAAGCAAAGGGCAGAGAAAACACAGAATGCACACAAACATAAAGAATATGCCATCGATTCCAGGAATCTTGCACTGACTAAGTTTACAACTAGCCTATTAAGAGACATAAGCTGGAATGTAACTAAACTTTAGCTTATGTTTAGCTCTTTGCTCTTGGAAATTTCGTTCATATAAGAAATACCCAGTAGTACTTGTCTGCAAGATAACATTGCAGTAATGTTCTGCACTGCATTCTGAAATGAACTGAACTTAGCTTGCGTTGGCAGCAAGCATCGCTGCCCGATCTTGATGTAGTTTTATCATTTGAAACAAACCGTCCATGCCTTGACTGTGTGGACAGACTCGACGAAATACAACCGTGCTCCTATGTTAAAGGGACCCTGAAATCATTTTGGCGACTGTACAAACACATTGGGCCAGTAGACCAAGTCCTAAGGGTCAATTAGAGACTGATTTGAGCTCTCTGCGTAAACTGTGTAATTTATTACGCTTTAAAGCTGCAATATCGCCGTGACTCGGCCGAACCCGTTTTCAACCGCCCATTCACAGAGCAACGTGCTCGGGCCATTTGACGTCACCGTGGCTGCTGATCTGATTGGCTATCATTGGCTGTAGAATGCGCAGGAGTAAGATCAGCTGGTAGGGTGGTGGCACTGGGGTGGTTCATAACGGCTGGTAGGGTGGTTAAGATCTGCTGTGGTTGGGCGGAGCAGATATGAACCAATCCGCGATCTTCGTCTCTGTTGCCAGACGGCATGCATGCTGCCGGGCACACTATGTGGTGGTCTCTGAGACTACGAGCAACCTGTCGGAGCGCGATCTCAGAGGCCTAGACTGGTAAAAATTCAAATAGTCGAGCGTGCTGATGAGAGCTCTGCGATCACCCACGATGCCGGCATGCCTCGTGAGTTGAGGAGGCCAGGCAAAGCTCAGGAAAAGGGTATGATTTGTCCGTAGCGGCCTTGGTACATGGTGTGTCACTAAAATTGTGGTGCGAATGGTTTGATAATGCTCTAGCTTAAATGCTGACAAAACTTCAAAAAACCGTTTTAGGGTCCCTTTAAGTGTCGCTTACATAAGTGAAGGTGCCATAATGTAAATTGTGGTATGTCTGCACTTCTACAAGCTCAGAGGGCACGAGGTTTTAACTGTAAAGCTAGCTTTTCTGTAGTGCAGTTAATCCAACTGCACAAGTTAGTTACTGACAGTTAATTACTTACGGGAAACAGCATGTTAAAGTGCAGACTGCTCTCTTGACATAAACACACAACAGACAAGCCTCCTCACGTGCAACTAGGACCTCATCTCCACTTGATCTACAGCAGGTGCCACCATTAGTTGGGCAGCACAGGGAAGTGCACTTGTGAGTTATAAGTGTGTCTAATGTAAAAAAAAAACTGATTTTTCAGAAATTTCATTTTTATATTCTGCTAATTGATTGATAACCTTGCCAATTTTTATGCACCTTAGCCATAACAGCTTTTTATATCATGTCAGTGACCCACAGTTTGTGTTTCTCAATTTGCTTTCTGCCATTTTCTTCTTTATTTGCTAACCTTGCAATTTACTGATGACCATTTCTAGGCCTCGGAACACACCAACATTTTTATTGTGCCATAACAATCTGAATGTATAGAGACTGCAAAAGGGTGTGAAATAAGGAACACACATTTTCTCAGTCGTTCAAGTGAGGGTGTTGAAGCTTTGCAACTTTCATGCTAAAAAAAGTTAGGACTAGAAAACTGTGCTTGTTGCACTTCCTATCATGTGTAGAATTCAATAATATTTATTATAGCAAGATCTGTACTGCTAGTTCAATAAGAAATATGGTCAAATTATGCTATCACTAACTGATACTAATAGCACAATGCACATAGAAACCGAGTTCATATGCAACATCAGCACATGAAAATACATAATCGCTGAAATGATCAACCTGGCTGAATAAAATACTTTGTCGAAAACAGCATCCCTTTTAAGCTGGTTCTATGCTGAAATCTCAAAAATTGTTGCATCAAAAAAAGAAAAAGAAGGGGGGGGGGGGCTGTTGTATCAACAGCACTGAGTAATCAACTAAAGATGCCTATTTGGATTTACACCTTTTCTAGATGCACATCAACTATTTTTAGTTTCCATTTTTTACAGAGATGCCATGCATCATTTCTCTGAATTTCCTTTATAAGAAGTTTCCTTATGATTAATGCAATCTCTATCCAAACTATTGTCTTATGCTATAAAAATGATGATGGCATGATATCATATGTATAAATTGGTGATCTTTTTTTTTGACTGATGGTAATCATGGAGACGCTCATAAGCCAGTAATGAATGGTTGTTCTCGTTGTTGTGGCATTTATGTGCTGTCAAACCATGCAGCTTGTTTCCACTTTCTGAACACATGAACACATCAGCAAAAGTTTGAGGGACGTTTGATCCACAACAAATGAAGGAGTGGAACAGTCGTGCCATTTGCACCATTGTGCGCCATACTTATTTACTCGCACCATCCTACGCCATACCACCCCTGCTGGTCCAAACTCTTATTCTCCGTGCCGTACTGTGTGCAGCTGCAAAATTTAGCCGCAATATGCGAAAGCCATCGAGCATCGTGCGTGGAAATGTGGCCGAAACATCGTCTTTTTGGTTTTTCATCGAGATGGTTATAGTTTAGATTTTGTTAAGGCTGTCATCTCTCCAGCAGTAGCCGTGAACTTTGATTCCAAGGGCACCATTGCGATCACGACAGGAATCGGCGCAAATGGCTCTTTAACCCTTTTATGTGTTCTGAGTGGTACGCTCTCAAGGCAAAGAGACTGCGAGAAGAGCATCTTTTCCTGACTCGACTGTTCTCGCTTACACGTGTCACTGTTTTCTGGAGTTGCACGATATCTGATCTAAAAAAGTTGGCTGCCAGGCCTACAACTTGTTGCTACCACATTCATTGCTTCGCCCTTCTGGTGAAACTGTTGTGAAACGCCCTTCCGGTGAAACATGATGGCATTGGCAAAAACACGTAGAAAGTATCCGTATAGTTTCTGTCGCAATAATGAGGCAGTTGCACAATTTAGCTGAGTATTTGAAAAATGCAGCATTGAACAAATGTTGATTGAATGGGGCTACATTTTCTCCGAGTGTTCTTACTGCTCTAAACTTGCTCGAAAAACCCTCTTCGCTGCTCCAAGCTTGTTCTAAAACGCCTTTCTGGCTGCTCCAAGCCGCCTGCTACAAAAAGCACTTTTGCCTGCTCCCAAAACCCATCTACCCTGTTCCACCCCTGCAAATGCGAAAATCTGCTGTATGAGTGCTTAACGCGTGTAATAAAGGTGGTAACTGTAGAGGTTGGAATGCCAAGTGCAGTATGGAACATTTTTCGAAATTACATTCCCAGACAAAGTGGTAATCAGCTTTATCGAACATTTCGCGCCCCGCAAACTTTTGCTATTGATAGTACTTCATGACTAATGTTACTCAAAGAGTGTAGAGTGAAAGACTGTGCTTTTATTTGGAAATATCGCAATAATAGTATGTGCCCTTCTAACAGCAATTTGTTGCAAAACATTTATTGTTTTTTCAACCAAAATGTCCATGTAAACAGTAATTGTATTTCTGTAATGCAGCTGCTTGAACCATTTCTATATATCTAAAAAAATTGACTTGAAGATTCAAAAACATAAGTTTAGGTAATGTGATACACATAAAAAGCAAATATTTGTGAGGATCAGATCTACACTCAGATTTGACATCCATTTTAAGGCCTTGAAGAGTTTGCCTTCAACGAATAAACTAAATATGCAAGTTTTTAGCCTTGAGAACTGCAACCATTTTTATCATGTGTTTTTTGTGATTGTGCCTTCTGAGGAGAGAGAACATGAAATATACAATGTAGTTTGCTTCAAACACAGCAGTCTGAAAGAGACCCATGAAGTTGAATGAAAAAAAAAAAAACAGTATTGCCTTGATGCCACTTTTTTAGCTGTCGATGCAGCCATAAAAGCAAATTTGAGAGAGGGCACATATAACATGGTATAAACAAATCCTTATTGACACTTAACGCTCTGATGAAATGACACATAGGCACACATTGATGTTTATACTTTGTACATGACACAATTCGTTCTTGTCCTCGCTGCTTGAAGACATAATGATTGTTAGCAGCCTCTTATGTACAGCTATCTTGAGTGAAGAAACAGAAATGTATAAGAACATCTCAAACCCAATGAAGCTGCTATATACAAAAAGTAACCAGTCATCAAGCCAGTAAGTACGGAGATGGCAATGAGTGCCCCCCATGAAAGGCAGTGCATGTACGCTGTACAATGGAAACCCCATGCTCTTGTGTATTGGGCCAAAGTTATTTCAGCCAGAGACTTCCTTCCCATTTTATAAAAATGGAATATAGTGGTGATAATGCAGCTGTACAAATAAGACCGTGTGGCAAGATAGCTGGGCAACGTACAATATTTACAATACAATAACCGGGCACTTTAAATGGACAGATTGCATCTGGATGTAAACAGTAGCAATAAACACCGGACACTTGAATAAAGGAAAGATGGGAGACATTTACGAAATTAAGATGCCGAAGACCGAAGAGACAAAGCGTACCATGTGGCTTGCCAAGTGCAGTCGGTGACGAATGAAACGCAAACAGCGGCAAGCATTCTCGATGTCCAGTCATCACTATGAACAGGCGCGTATGCACTGTGCTGCCCAACCGGATGCGTGTGCCTGTCAATGGCCATGACTGAAAGGATATCACTATACCATTGTGAATGCTTGCCACTGCTCGATCTTCCCTTGACACCGACAGTACACTGCTTTTCCTTACATTAAAACTGTCACTGGATCCCATGGCTGCACAACTCAATGCTAACTGAATATGCACTTTCTGATTCAAAGTAGTACTATGAAGTGTAGTCTTCACTTTCATAAAGGAGATCGTTCTCTAGGCGAGTAGGATACCGTGACTGTGCAGAAATATTCTCTTATCTTTTAGAACATTGACTGCCAGTGCTGTGGTTGAACTGAGAAATCGCTCTTATTGCAGTAACTAACACGTGGAACCAAATCTCTCGTGGCATCGAAAATGGTGAAATCAGCAGCTGGTCATGTTCGTTATTGCTGGAAAATTTGGACCCGAGATGGGTTCACTTGCCAATTACCCATTGTGCAATAAAAAATAACAATAGCCTCTGGCACTGAACAGGTGACAAAACCAATTTATGCATGATTAAATGAGACTGAACACTGCAAATAGGAAATAATAGTCTATGGTGTGTTTGGTTTACTCTGCCCAGCCACCTCGCATTGCATTGCAACTGTTGTAAAAGAGGCGAGAGCATATCAACAGGTAGGGTAGGGGAAATATGTGAAATGAACTTTGAAAAAACATAACTGGAGAACATACAAAGAGATCGAAAAAACAAACAACAACGAGAACAAAAACCATCAGTGATGATAGTGGCAAGCTCACAGTCATGACTTGTGCGTACTATTTGAGCCAACAACAGGCGTCTTCCGTAGCATCCCAAGTTAGCTCAATTTCAAGACTCATGTTCCACACTACTTGCAAAGCAGCCACCAACGTGCACACGGGTCATTGAAAAAGTAACAAAACATTTTCACAAACGACCTTAGCCCAGAGCAGTAACTTGATTTTCGTTTGCAGGTGGGCAGTCTCCTCTTGGTGGGCATGGGCCTTTTCTGCGGCTCGTGTTACGCGTATGCCCTGACGGGCAACCCTTCGGTCAAGTACGGTGCCCCCTTTGGCGGCACAGTGCTCATCCTGGCCTGGCTGAGCATTCTCTTGTGATCAAAATAAAAGCGCATAAAACAGACTGTCTCGTGCCACACGTGCAACTAAGCTGATGGGAAGGCAGCTGCATCAACGAGCCGCTGCTCAAAGTCCTGCAGCATCTGCATGAGCAGGCGGCGCTTGAAACGTCCCGCTTCGTGGATCACATGGCGCACCATACACACCTGCGTTTCCAGGCCTCCCTGCACTAGGCCCAGCAACTCGAAAAGACGCTCAAAGTCTGCACAAAAGGGAAAACATGTTGCCATCCTCAAAAACTGTCTTCAATTACCTTAGCTGCTGCAATGACTCAGGATCGATAACAGCCTACTACTAAACTGACAACTCAGAGTTTGATTCACAGCAATGGTGTCTGCATAGGAAAAAACACTTACAGACGTCCACACTTCTGTCTAAATGGCTGAAATGGTACACTCCAATGCTGAGAAATCTAGGGCATCTCTGAATCGTACGCTGATTTCACGGACAATGCTTGCAACTAGTAGAGGATGGACAACGATGAGCTCACGCCAACCTAACAGAGCAACCTGGTAGCTCCAGAAGCATATTAAAGCCAAGTGGCGTCATAGACTCAACATTCATTAAACAGCAAATCTATACCTTTGGTGAATGATTTCGCTGGCAGAAATTGTAAATACATCATGGTAGGTCAGACAGCGTTGTGCAGTTGATCTCGTACTCAAGGCAGGCTAAAGTATGTGAAAAGTCAATATAACCACTTTCCAAGCCACGCTGATCATGTTAGAGTGCCATTTCACAATGTAACAGTTCAGTTGCCAATGCATTGGATCCCATGGGAGCTATGCTAGGACTGGCTGAAAATGACATAGTGCAGTCGACTCCCAATACTTGTTTAATAGAAATTTTTGATTAATTAGAAGTCAAGTGGTCCCATAAATTTTGCATGCATGCCCATAGAAAAAAATGCTCAATGATTCGAGCGTAAAGGCCAGTTATGCCAATTAATCACAAATTATTTTTCAGTCGAGAGCCTCGAGGTGACTGTAGTTTTTCAGTAAAATCGGGAATTTTCCCATTGCCTGTAGCGCCACAGTTCATGAAGTGGCGATCGTGTTTAGTCATCGCTGGGGCATCGCATTGATCGCATTGGCTAACTAGGTCATTTGTTGCAATGTGTCGAGAGCTTCAGCTACGCGCTGGACTGAAGTTTGGTTAAAGTTAGAAAAGCGCGACTGGACGCAGGCAGAAAAGACGCACACAGCGCAGAGTGTTTGCGTGTTCTGCTCCATCCACATCCAGTTGTGCTGTTCAAACATAGCATGATAAACCAACTAGCCCGCCAACACACTGTGAGTTGATTCTGCGCAAGTTTCCACAGCTGATTTTGAGTGTTGTGGTGGCAATTTTTGATAATCGCAACTCGCGGCCCCTACCGAATGCTTGACTTGGTGCGAAAAAAAGAAAGTCCTGAAAGAAGTTAACCGCCAAGCAAGACATCGCACGAAAGCACAGCGTTGACCCTAACCCACTCTCGAATTTCGTCAAGTGCAAATAGGTGAACTCGACGAAGGTAGTTTTGAGGCTGTTCTTAGTGACATCCATTTTGAAACATTTTTTGTCATCGAAGCATATGAAATAGTAGGAAGCATATGAAATAGTAAATAGCCAGTCATCTATTGCTCTCACCAAATACTGCAATGTTGTACCTGCAACACGTGTTTAGAAGCTGTGTATGGAGCGCTAAGATTTCGTCAGTGCCAGTGCCTCCAGTTCTGTTCAAATATTCCACTTTTTTCATTACACTTTCAGTTCATGGACAGTGCCCACGTAGTGTCTCTAGTGCTATTTGCACTGGCCATCATGAATAGTGTGAGCACGATAAGTGACTGGCTTTGCATCCTCTTTACATACAGTGAAACCTCGATATATCGAACGCGGATATATCGAATTATTGCCTATATCGAACGGTTCCTATATCACGCGGGAAATCGCATCCATTATTGATTTTTTATTTCGAACAAAGTTTGATGTATAATGGATATATCGAACTCAGCCACCCCAAACCGCCCGCGCTCCATTGACAGGCGGCGAGCTTTCCCGCAACTCTCGAAAGTAGGGGTAGAGAGGCGGGCGTTTACGAATGCTGCACACATCGATGGTGCCGAGAGCGTCGCTTTAACGTAGCGGCGTACGCGCGCCGCAGCCTTGCGGTAGAGGTTCTTTAATGAGGAAAGTGAAGAGAAAAGCGCGGAGCTATTATTTTCTTTCAGTACGAAGGCACCGACATGGCGTCGCGTGGGGGAAGGGGGGTGGGAGGTAAAGATTGAGGAGGAAAGTATAGGAGAAAAAGGACGCAGACGACTGTCTCGGACGCGACCCGCACTGCCGCCGGGAAAGGAAAAGCAGTCAGGCGAGCCGGCATGGGCGCGCCATGTGCGCGCTTTACACCCGGACTCACGCCGCAGCCTTGCAGCTTGCAGTCGTTGCAGTCTCTATGGCGTCAACGGCACACTGCGCACTTGTTGCAAGCTCCTCTCCCGTAGCATCGGCAGGCATCGGTCGTTGTGTTCGCAGTGTTCGTGCATTCCGAGTTAGGCCTGTGGTGCGCGACAGGCCTAACTCCGAACGGCGGAGCTCACGGATGTGGAGATTGTCGCCGAAGCTACTGCTGAGCAGCCAAATGAAGACTCTGCCGAGGTGGATCCCGCAAGCGCTGATGGTGCGCCGCTCCCGACATCAGCTGAGGTCGTAGCTGCCTTGGCCCTTGTGCGCCGCGCGATTGAAGGCACCGGCCTATCATGTATGGATCGCTGGACTATATTGAGGACGCAGTCGTCAAACACGCCATGGCCAACAAAAAGCAGGCTACTCTTTTTCAATATTTTAAACCAACACAATAAATACTATGTTTGAATCTTCAAGTGAGTATTTACTGCACCACGCTTGAACGGTTCGTTGGTTGTTTTCAGCAAGCTGTTGACGCATTTCTTTCGTGATTTTTTTATATCGAATTCTGTATATATCGAGCTATTTCACGATCGCCTCACTGTTCGATATATCGAGGTTCGACTGTATCATCATCAATGTGATTTTGCTCGAGCTTGGCTGAGTAAAAGCAGTTCCTCACAGTAGTATACACATCTTTACACTTTTGGGTAGTAGGTAAGGAGTTATATCTGCACAATAACTTAGTAACATATGGTTCCTGCACTACACTGATGACACCTAGATGACAAACAGCAAACGAAGGCTCCTGCACCATCCTACAGACACAACAAACTTTTAGGAATCAAAATTCCAAAGCTAATGCCATATTAGATTATCTCATGTTGCAGCATGAGCATCTCATAAGAATCTGCTTAGAGACACTCCGCAACCTTCTTGAGGTAATGTCACTTCGAAGTATTCAAAAAAACATTAAGCAAATACTCAACAAATTTTTGGAAAACATTCACCTCGTACTCTATTATTCGAATTCGTTTCACAAACAAAATTTTGCTATTTGTACAGCTCTAAGCATAACATTATGCTTGATTGGACAGCAGCCTTTTTTCTTTTTGAATACACACTTTTACATTGCCGATTCTCGGCAAAATAACTGGCACCAAAGCTTTTAAAGGAGTTCAGCAGCGTGGCATGGAATGCCACAGGCATGGAACGAGGTTTAGCCATGCCAATGCGAGTATGTGCCAATATTTATAAACTCGCTCTTTATTTGTGCATCCATGTATACTGAAGATGCCAAGTTTAATTCGCAACTGTGACAACAAGCTAGCAGATGGAAGTTAGACTAGCAAGTTCTTCTGACTAAGCTACTGCAATTAGTTTTCCCTTATGAGGGGGGCGGAAACAAACTGTTGCGAGAAAAGTGCAGCAACGCAGGTGCAGGCTTGAGCACACGTCCACAGCTACTCACTTCTGCCAGGTTTCCTGACTTCCTTGAGCAGGCAGCCCCTAATAAGACCATTGTCGCGCCACCGTGGAGCCACCTGGCCATTTCTCTCCTCCCAAGAAGCTGGTTCATTAGGCGCCCAGCCATTGCTCGTCTCCTCCTCTGTTGGAGAGATAAACAAACGAATGGAATCAACTTGTGATATTTGCTTTATTATCACAACATGTTCAACATAAAACTGTTATACAGCCATCAAGCTGAAACAAACTCTAACTAAAACTTGACTGCATCATCCTCAATTGTAAAGTAATCATGCTTATGAGCGATATTGTCTTTAAAAAAATGTCACTTTTATGTGCATTTGTCTTGAACATGTATCAAGGTACACCAACACAAATACACAAGATTTTGAATTATACTGACACGAATAACTAGGCTTATGCAAATATTAGATACTTTCAATATTCAAATGAATAGTACAATATTTGAATTCAATTTGATTTGAATTTAAATTATTGAAAATTTCAAAGTGTTTGCAATTACCAAATATATGTATATTGAGCCGCATGTAATTCCCTGTAAAACTAGTTTCACTGCAGTGCCGAGGTGCTGAGCCGTGAAAACACCTATTAAAATATACGCACTGCCGTGAAGCCCTATTTCAAGGTTCAATGAACATATAACCCTCAAATCCACTCGTCATTTCTTGAAGTTTAAAAGCTTGCTATGCCGGCTTATATACTCTAAGTACAGTAAATTTTGAAACATTACATATTTTACAGGTTATCACTTGCATTCTATCAAAAGTCAAACCTGGCTACTATTCAATGTTGTTTTGACTTCCTTTGAACAAAAAAAAAAAAAAAACATTTGCACAGAGGCCTTTCAAAATTAAAAAAAAAATTGTGCACGTCACTTAGCTCATGACAAGTTTACCAATATTTTAAAAATAATATGAGATATATACTACTTGAATTCGATTTGAAATTATTCGACCAAAATCACTATTTGCTTCGAATTCATTTCCAACCTAAAATTCACTCTTTGCACAAAGAGAGAGTGCGAATTTATTAGAAGGCAGAGAGGTCGGCCTGAGCTAGTTCGCTCTAGCCTGCTGCTCTACACAGGGGATAAGTGAAGGGGGAAGGAAAGAGGGATGAAGGGTGATGATGGGGACAAGAGGTGGCATATGTACAGTAGCCACTTAGCGTAGTACCCTACAGTCTAGTATCTAGTCTAGTGCTTTTTATAAAGTCTAAAACAGCCTTTGTAGCAGTTTGTGGGAATCGAGGCTAGCCCACTGCCTTTGCGCAGGCTTTGCCGCCTTTTCTGCCGTTCTCATGTCCCGACATGTCTCCCCTCCTTTGCTGTCTGCCACGCTGGGAAAGTGGAGTGACGTTTAACCACCTCACCCGGTAGCGGATGTTGATCCGTTGGCACCACGAATTTAGTCCCATCAAGATAGACGTCAAACTTCCGCAGCGCAAACGCGATGGCGAGGCACTCCTTTTCGGTCACGGAATAATTTTTCTCCGCAGAGACCAAGGAGCGGCTGGCAAAGGCCAACGGCTGCAACACGCCATCGTATTCCTGTAGAAGAACAGCTCCTAAACCCAGATCGCTCGCATCAGTTTGTACAACGAATGGTCTGGTCAGGTCGGAGAGCTTGAGCTGTGCTGTCTCCGCGATGGCGTTAGACAGTCGGCAAAACGCCTCCTGCTGCTCAAGTCCCCATTGCCACTCAGCAGACTTACCCAAGAGTTTGCTCAAGGGCGCCTGCAGTTGGGCACAGAACGGAATGAAGGAACGGTAAAAGTTGACCATGAGTCTTTGAAACGTCGCAGGAGCATTGCAAAGACCAAAGGGCACACAAGTAAACTCGAACAACTCTATGTGGGACGTGAACGCAGTTTTACACTGGTCACGGTTACCCATCCGGACCTGGTAACCTTTAGAGGCTTCAAGCGTTGTAAAGTACCATGCATCACCCAGGTTACCTACGATGAAGTTTATCGTGGAGAGCGGATAGGCATCCTTACGAGTCACTCCATTCAGACGGCAATAGTTGACGCAAAGGCGATGACTGCCGTCTTTCTTAGGCACCAACACAATTGGAGATGCCCAGGAGCTAGACGTGCGGCGAATAATGCCAGCCGCAAGCATGTCATCTAGCAACCCATCGATAATCTGCCTTTTGGCGAGACTGATGGGCCTGGGGTTACTTCAAAGAAAGCGCGTCACCAGTTTCGATCACATGGCTTACTAAATCGGTACAGCCAAGTGGATCGGTGAAGAGCTCTTCGTCCCCCCCATTGACGCGGACACCAGAGGTGCTCGGGGCACTGACCTACAGATGCTGTGCTCTGCTCTCGGCCGTCGCCGAAGAAGCCCTGCTGCTTTCCCACCATGGCTCCTGCGCGAGGCCAGCTGAAAGCAGCTATATTCTGCCGGCCAACGCCAGGGCGCCTAGCAGCCAGTTCTGGTTCGGCCGCCCTGATCACTGAAGAGGCCCGGCTTCCCGCTACGGCCCAGCTCCGTCATCGAGCCAGAAATGCGGGGTCTCCGAACAACAACCGAGGCGGCGTTCGTCGGACTCACGGCTCATCAAGAGCAGCAACGAGCCATCAGAGATCCCTCCTTCCGTGCATCTGACCTTGCACTCGGGCATCGCAACCAGCGGGCGTTGTCGCGCCCTTCCGCCCGTCCGCGCTGTGGACGCTATCCCGCTTCTGCACCACGAACACTACTGCTACTCTCCTGTGCTCCCTTTCGCAGTTATTTTTATAGTGTCATGTGTTTATTTTGTTATTTATGTTTTTGTTTCTCCTTTGTCATCATTTTTTTAGCAGCAGTAACAGGGCTGGACTGAGTTTAGCTGTTGCTCATAGCAGTGTCATTTAACTGACACTGCTATGTAAGAAGGGTGCCGGTCCCGATAACTTGCCAAATGAATTTCTTAGGCGATATGCTGAATGGGTAGCCAAATACTTGTGTATACTTTTCAACAAGTCCCTATCAACCTGTTCCCTCCCCCAAGAATGGAAAATCGCAAAAGTAGCTGCTGTTCATAAATCTGGTAGCGAAGCTGACCCTTCGAATTTCAGACCCATTTCACTAACCAGCACAACTTGCAAACTACTGGAACACATTATTCTTAAACATCTAACGTTGTACCTTGACCAGAATCACATCTTATCGCCACTACAACACGGTTTTCGCAAAGGACTATCTACAGTTACCCAACTGGTTGAACTAATTCACGACATCTCCCTCAATGTAGACTGTACAAAACAAACTGATTTAATTCTATTAGATTTCTCAAAGGCGTTTGATCGGGTGCCACACAAAAAACTTATAAAAAAATTAGAAGCAACGATAGGCGCAGGCCCACTTACTAACTGGATCGACAATTATCTGAGTAACCGAACACAGTATGTGCAAGCCAATTGCGAAAGTTCTACCATAGCCAACGTTACGTCAGGTGTACCGCAGGGCAGTGTTTTGGCCCCCATTTTATTTTTGATCTTCATTAATGATTTACCTACTGGCATTGGTGTTAATGTGAGGCTTTTCGCCGATGATTGTATACTTTACAAGGAAATTAACGCCCTAGCAGATCATGTAAAACTGAACAATGCCTTGCAGTTCATATCTAAGTGGTGTGCTCTTTGGCAAATGACCCTGAATGTTAAAAAATCTGCTCTCTTGAGGATAACAAGAAAAAAGCAAGTATCTGAATTTGTTTACGTTATAAATAACTCTCCACTTCTGGTAGTGACTGAACACAAATATCTAGGTTTAACTTTAACGCAAGATTTTAGATGGGATATCCACGTTAGTCATGTCACATCAGCTGCATTAAAACGGCTGTTTTTCCTTCGTAGAAGTCTCGCTTCCGCGCCACCTGAAACGAAACTTCTAGCCTACAAAGCGTTCGTCAGACCTGTCTTAGAATATGCAAACGTCGCGTGGTTTCCCTTTACAAACAATCTCATAAATGCCCTAGAACGAATACAACGAAAAGCGATAAGATTTGTCTATAACAAGTACAGAATAACTGACTCACCCACTGAAATTTTAAAAAAAGCAGGTCTCTTAACAATAAAAAACCGCGCTAAACTGGCACGTCAGAAATTCCTATATCAGTTAGTTCACCAACAGCTAAACATAAACAGTTCAAAGTACATGTCATTTAAAGAAACAAGGCCAACACGACAAAAGCATTCTCAGACACTGAATGAATATCAGTGCCGGACGGACTGTCTGAAATATTTTTTTTTTCCACTAGAAATTCGCGAGTGGAATAACTTGCCAATCAGTATAACAAACAGTCAATCATTGGAAACTTTTTCATCCCTGCTCGAATGTTATTTATTGTCATCAGAATTGACGAACTCTGTTTTTTTCTTGTCCACTGTTTGAAGAGCTCACTATTCTTTTCTTTTCAGTACTAGTTGGAATTGATGTCCTATGCTACTGAATGTATTTTAGTGGTATTGATGTAGTCATCAAATGTATTTCTGTCGGCTTTGTCTCACTTGTTATTATAATAATTCAGTGAGTACCCTCTGTATAAATCTTGCCCTTTCACAATGTATGTGCCCTTCCTGCAATAATCCCTGTTGGGATTGGCAGTATATGTAAATAAATAAATAAATAAATAACTGCATGGGTGACGTCCGGCTGCCTTTTGCAGACCGGTAAAGGGCAAATTTAGGAGAGCGGGATGTGGGAATTTAAGCTAGCCCCCTTCCTTGCGCGGGCTTTGCCGCCTTTTCTGCCGTTCTCATGTCCCGACATGTCTCCCCTTTTTTGCTGTCTGCTGCGCTGGGAGAGCGGAGTGACGTTTAACCCCCTCACCCGGTAGCGAATGTTGACTGTGGCGCCGCGCGCGAAGTCTCCCGAGAGGTTTTTGCGCGCTGCGTCGGGAGCGGGCAGATAAATACTCTCCGGGACTGCAGACGGTGAGCCACGCAATCTTTTCCGTCCGTCGACTCCCGTCGCTCGGGGGCTCGCTGACGGACTTCGCTGATGGCGCCTCGTGCCCGAGGCGAACGCTCACCTTTTGTTGCCCCACTGCGTACGCACGGCCAAAGGGTGGTACGGTGTCCTAGTGCGTGGCCTAGCTACGCCGAGCCATCTCCCTCCGAAGCCAACGCGAG